TTTCTCAAAAACTAGTCAGCGCCACCCACTTTCTGTCCACTTCATATATATGTATATATGTATATACATAGCTATGTCTGTGTGTAGGAGTTCCATTTGCTTGGGAATTATCGGGCGGGGCGCTGACAGAGCAAGCGGCAACTGCAACATTTTGCTAAATCAAAATTGACACTATGCAAAAAGCCAACCCACGGAGCGCAAATTGCAACACGGTAGCCGTACACACACACACACACACACACATGACTAGTCACATACTTGATTGTCGGGCCAGACTGGGGCCAGGCGCTCAGCGTGCCATGCCATAGAGGCCAAAAGGTGCCCATACCCCGAGCTCCATTGGCATGTGTGTGATGTTGTTGTTGTTGCTGTTCTTGCTGTTGTTGTTGTTGTTGTTTTGTGGCGCCAAGTAATTTCTGTGTTAGCGTTAGATTTCAGCCATGTGCAGACAACGAACACCACACAAATGGCAAGCACAGCAGTTATTAGTTTTAAACTCAGCACAGTGAGGCAAAGCGTGGAAAATGTGCTTTTTTTTTTTTAATATAATCTACGACTTAACAAAAAATAAATACCAACAACAATTTTAATTGATACATTTCATATTTTGTTCATTGAATGTAAATAAATTCGGATTTAATTTAATATATAATTTTCTTTATTTAATTTTTTGTATTCTAAAACAAAAACAAAACAAAACAAAAAAAATCCTAAAATTTATAAATGTATTATTTATTAAATTTTTTTAAATTTTTTTTAAAAAGTAAAATGTTAATTATTTGATAAATAAAAAGATTTTTAATTGCAAACTGTGTCAAGTAATTCGAATGAAACAGTTATATTTACAGTCATTGTAACTATGATATATATTTTTTTTCCACATTAAAAAAAAAAAATTTTATATAGTTATTTCTCTTTTGAAATTAATAAAGTTAGTTAATTAGAAATCCAATTTTAGTTTGTTAGCCACTGTGCCCAAATGTGAATCACTTTGCTAGCTCCACTGCACCACTGTGGCCACCATCGTGGTGACATTTGTTCATTAAGCATATTAAATAATTAGTACTTGTTGTTGTCATATTTTATGTGCTTGTTGCTTGTTGCTTGTTGAGCAGCTGAGCCCGCTGAGAGGCTTGGCATATGAACAGCTAAAGCAGAGACAAGGACCAGTTTTCAATAGCCTCAACTCAAGTGTTGGCCTTTCGCATTTAGTCATATATAATATATGGACAAAAATGTGTTTTAATTGAATGGCCATTGACGTGTTCAGCTGAAGAGCTGACCGATAGTACTTTAAGCCAAGGCAACGTCGAACTTCATTTCGTAATGTGAATCAAATTTCTGATTTACCAACAATTTTTTAATTGAGTAAACACAATTAGATGACTTTGTTAATATATATATATATATATATATATATATATATATATATATATATATATATATATATATATATATATATATATATATATATATATATATATATATATTTTTTTTTTTTAATGAATATTTATTTATTTATATGAAAAAATGAAATAAAAATCTAAATTCAAATCAAATTTGAATATTGAAATGTAAATGCTGAAGAGAAAATTATCCAACTGTCAAGAGTGATAGCTTGGCTTGCAATGAACTCCAGTGAACCGAATCTGTGAAAGCAACTCTATTTATAAAAGTTTGCAAGAGTTTATACTTTATTCTGTTGGTGCGCCTGCCTATAAGATCCATAAGATCGGTCGACCGAAGGGTCTTTGAGCTCTTTGAGAATTTCTTCTAAATGCAAAGATGGTTTGAATGGACTTCTTGGGCTTGATCTTTCCACTATATTAGATATGTGTCCATGATATCCATGCCCACATGTCCATGTTGATGTATTTGGAGGATTGGAGGAAGGCCATGTCGTCAACATAGGTGGCTGAAAGTTATCTAGCGTACGATATGATTGGCATGTTCGCCCTGTATAAGGCATATAAGACTAGTACTAGTCCTTGAGGAAATCAGACTCTGACATCTCTTATGTTGGATCCTTCACATAAAAGTTTCTTAGCAAACTGTAGTGACTACATAGGCTATAAATATGAGCAGAATCATTACCCGGTACAGCAATCAGAGTGTCAATATGATAGTCAAAAATTTTTAAAATACAAGAAACTAATATGCAGCTTAAATAAAAACATTATGAACTTTGCATAATTGTGATTAATATAAAAGCACATCTTTAGGTTAAATGGCTTAAAGCTTAGCATACAATAGTTATTTCAAAGTCAAATCACTTAACGCTCGAAAAGAGGTCAACTTTGTTGAACCGTCTTATCAGTACAATAACAATTATGAATGTGATTTATTTTCGAATTCGAAAATAGTAAAAGTTGAGCATATGTTGGCGATAGCCCTTAAAGGTTAAGCCCATTAGTATGGACTGATAAATAAATATTTGTGGCTGTAAGTGACAAAGAACAGATGTAAATTTATGCAAATTGCATGCTGTGTTGCCCAATAAGCCATTTGACACTTTTGTCCACACGCGGCTGATTTGATTATTAATTATTTATTGTCTAACTATTGTGAATTATGGAAAGCAAATGACCAAAAAGCTCTCAAATGGAGTCGAACTCCCAAGTCTGGCCAGCTGAAGTGTCTCGGCTGCGCCTCTTGGCCCATTCCTTTGCTCAGTTTTGGACACGTTCGCTGCGAACCAGTTGAGCGACATTCCATTTGAGGCGCGACAGGCGGCGTCCATTTGGGAGATGCTAAGATTAATCAGCTGCCATAAGCCAAATGACAAGACATATATATGTACATATGTATACAGTATGTATAGTTGATTTTTGGACTTGTTGCCTCAAATGCTCAGCTGTGTTGTTGTTGTTGCCGTCTTATGAATGCGGCCTAGTGTTATTATTGTTATAATGTTTATTTATGGCGTAGCTGGAAAAAAAAATTAATTTCAAATTTGATTACAATAAAAATAAAGCCACACACATACACACACTCACGCACTCAGCTCAGATCCGAAATCGAGCCACTTGTAAGCAGCGTTTGATTTACGTGCCCCGAAAACTGACTCTAGGTAGGCAAATGAAAGATCGACCCATCACACAATTGCCCCAAACTTTGTAGGTGTGTGTAGATGAGTGTTTGTGGGCACCGTGACGGGCCCAACCCAACAAATTCCAAACAAAAATAAAGAAGATTTAGCCAGAGCCAGCAGCAACAACAACAAATTCCGAAATAAATTTATTGTTTTCTATTTAGATAGTTGTTGTGTCTATTCGTATGGATGAAAATTATGCAAAGCTGCCTGAAAACAAACAAATATTATAGGCAGGCGGGACTAATGTGGCGCATGGTTATGTTTATGATTGTTCCCCTGTTCTATTTGCCGAATTGGGTTACTTTCAACATCATTTCTTTAAGGTCTTAGGTTACACCAACCACAACAACAACAAAACAAACAATGCCAGCTACCAACAGCAGCAACAACAGCCGACTTTCTGGGCAGGCCAGGCTAAGCTGCAGATGGCCACGGACTAACATTAGAACAGCCCACGCCTGGCTTATGATTAGAGTTTCCAATGTTCCACGAGGCACTCCAAACTGGTTTCATGCCAAAAAGAAAAAAAAAAAATCTATGTATATATTTTTAAGCCGTGGCCTATGAATGGAGATGGCGGGGGAAATATAGTATATGACAGCATACGTGTGTCCGTAAAATCCAGCGGACAAAAAAAAAAAAAAAATCAACTGAATAATTGGTTAGAGGCGTGGGCGAACTGCTTATTAATTGTTAAATTGTTAACAATTTCAGCTACACAGAAATATACATATAAATATATTTGGCGCCGTATTTAAATAGCTAATCATGTTAACCAAAATCTCAATGCTCTATGCTCTCAGACGTGGGCAGAAATCGACTAGACTTCAGCTATCAATTATCATAAAGGTCAAATGCAGTGCACTCCCCAAAAAACAAGAATATAAATATATGTATAGTTGAAGGCTCATACGCATACAAATATCTCAGTGCAGATTGCCAATTGGAGTCGTAGAAAATCCACTTTGAGCTGCCCACACAGTCGCTGCACAATTCATTCCCATGGCCAATGAAGCTCAGGCTAAATATAATTTATATACATTTTTTCAGTTTTGTTAGGATTTTTTTTTTTTTTTTTTTTTTTTTTTGACCCAAATTCTATTCTGCTATTGCAACCAATGCACAGAGATGATTCACGTACAAAAAATATCAAATTTAATAAGCTTTCACATTGAATTTGTTTTTATTTATAAATCAATATTTAATTAATTCATTTCAAGGACTAATTTCTCTTTTTAATTTTTTTCAAATACAAAATTTCAAAAATACAAAAAAGTTATACATATATTATAAAATTTAATTTCATTTAAGAAATATGCATATATAGTAAATATTGCTCTGGACTCACTGAATTACATTTGAAATGTAACACTCTATCAGGTTTTTAAGTGATCCAAGGTTATTATTTTTTTTTTAACGTGCAGTCTCTTATGTGACTTAAAAATAATTTAATTCTTAAACCGATATTATCTGTTTATTTGACTAATTTTTATGACGAAATAATGCCTGATCTTAAACTGATTATTGTTTGTTTTGACTACCGCAAAAGTAACTCAAAGCTAACATATTTTATATAATACTGAACCGATGTTAATGAATTTTTTTCACCTTTTTTATGATGATTACCCATCAATGAAATATTTGTTAAATTTTAAATGAGAAATGGTGTACAAATTTTTTAACGTTAGCTAACGTGTTCAATTAATAAATATTTAATTATTTTTGTATTTTTGTACTGCTGTCTTGGGTTGTCCAAGTGGCCTCGTCAACAAATGAGAATCCGGGTCCGAATCTTTAGCTTGTGCATAAATCTTAAGTTGCTTTGGAAGCTATTCGCAATAATTACTGATTGAAAAGATTGTCTACTTGATAGAATGTTTTCGATAATATGAAAAATATCTTAACATTAATTTTAGGTATTTCATGTATTTTTATTGATTGGGAAAATAAATAAACTAATAACTCAGCTATTGATAAACTGTTTGTAAAATGAGCAAAAATCACCAGGCAACTTCATTTCCGAATGCCTTGCAACTTTCCAAATAGATTAGGCTTAATATTGTGTATAAATAATTTTATACACGTTTAAAACATTTGAGTTATTTATCTTTTAAATTCAGTAAAAACAAATAACTGATATATAATATCTTCAACATATTTACATGTTTTAAACATATTTAAAAGTATTTTATTTTGTTGACATTAATTTTTATCAGCCTTATGCTTTGCAAGTAAATTTTCTTTTTTTTCTATGGATCCTAATATAACTTTTCTATAACAGTGCACAATTCTTCCACATACACATTTTTACTTAAAAATTCCCTAAATAAAATAATTAACTTGATATTTCTTTATCCTTGCAGACTTTCAGCTCCAAAGCGAAGTTCACAGTATAAAACAAAATTAATATCATAATAATAAAATAAAATGTCACACAAGACGGGCACGCGACGTGCCTCAGATCTGGAGTGTCCACTGGCGTCGCTTGGACGGACCAGCAATGCGGTGCGAGATCAATTGGCGGCGGCGCATTACCACCATCCGCATCCTTTGAGCTCCAGCCCGCTGGATCCGCAAGCCTATAAGATGTCACGAAAGTCGCCAACCCTCGGTCTCAACATCAACGATGCCGCAGCCACTGCCGACCTCTATCCACGTGGCTCACGCAGCTCCACGCCGCACAGCGACCAGCAGACGCCAGCGACGACGGCCACGACGGCAGCCGTGCTGCATATGGTGCAGCAAAAGGCGGCCACATTCGAGCTGCGTGGCCGGCACACGCGACAGGAGCAGTCCTCGTCCAGCTATGGCACCCACTCCACCGCCTCTGTGGGCAGGCATGCGCAGCTGAAGAAGTCGCCGGAGCTGCAAACGCTGCCCGCACCAGCGACCAGATCCGTAGCTCCAGTGCCGCAGCCGCGCAACTTTCTGACGCTGGACTGGCTGCATGGCAACAGCGCCGATACCGAAGACTCCAGCGACAACAATGTGGGTGGTGGCGGCGGCAGCAGAAGGCGTGGCCAAGCCCAAGGCGGACGCTGCAGCGTTCCCACGGTGCTGAGCAATGGCAACAGCAGTGCCCAATATCTGCTGGACAAGAAGATGGAGTCCCTGTATCTGGGCAACGCATTACGAGCTCTGCCGCTGGGTGCCGAGGCGAGTCAGTACCAAAACGAGCGCTACTACCTGGAGGACTACAGCAGCGGGAGTGGCAACGAGCGATTACCAGGTGAGAGAGATAACAACTGAAATGAGTTATAAAGCTTATTAATTAGTTGATGCATTATAATTTACTATTGCAATTTTATTATTTAATGTTCATTTACATGCTATTTATTCCTTTTGTTTACGGCTATTATCATCTTCATTCCATTCCACGCGAAGATTTAACAGAGTTTCAATACGTTGTTTCTATCATTATAGAACGTCTGCATCATCCGCGCAACTCCAGTCCCAGCGAAACGAGCGGCTCGGATCGCTATCTGCTGAATCGCAGCACAAATTCGCCCGCCAATGCCTTTCAGCTGGACCACCATCACACCAAAGTGCAAAGCCTCTCCGATGGACTGTGCAATATGGGTCGCTTTTCGCCCAGCCTGGACCAAGGCTACGCCACGCTGGTGTCGCCATCGCCCACTGGCCACCATCCGAGCAGCACGGCGGGCATTGTGGTTAACAGCAATTCAAAGAATAGCAGCCCAAACGTTGTTGGCGGCGGCGTCATTGCCAGCAGCACGCCAACCACAACTCCACGCCGTGGACTGACCAACAGCAGCAATGGTACGGTTAATGGCACAGCTATTGGACCGCCGCCCTGGAACCGGAAGGGTCCCTATCGCTGTGGCCCCTTCTTTGACCGCCTGCCCGACGATGCCGTTGTCCGCATTTTCAGCTGGCTCGATAGCTGCGAGCTGTGCAATGTGGCGCGCGTCTGTCGTCGCTTCGAGCAGCTCGCCTGGCGTCCTGTGCTCTGGAAGTGCATCACGCTGCGCGGCGAGCATCTCAATGGTGACAAGACGCTGAAGATGATCTTCCGCCAGCTGTGCGGACAGAGCTGCAACGGCGCCTGCCCAGAGGTTGAGCGCGTCATGCTTGCCGATGGCTGTCGCATCTCAGACAAGGGTCTGCAGCTGCTGACGCGTCGCTGTCCAGAGCTAACGCATCTGCAGCTGCAGACCTGTGTCGGCGTGTCCAATCAGGCGCTGGTCGAAGCGCTCACCAAATGCAGCAATCTACAGCATCTGGATGTGACAGGTAAGTTGGCAATTTTTATTTCCGACTGCGAGAGTGAAACTCATATAATTGATTACCTTTTCGCTCGTAGGCTGCAGTCAGGTGAGCAGCATCAGTCCAAATCCTCATGTGGAACCACCACGTCGGCTACTCCTACAATATCTGGACCTAACCGATTGCATGGCCATCGATGACATGGGCCTCAAGATCGTGGTCAAGAACTGTCCTCAGCTGGTGTATTTATATCTGCGACGCTGCATTCAAATTACAGGTAAGTTTCTAGAGCCGTAGTCAAAATGAAGTAAATTAACTTACCTCACTCCCATTTCCATGACAGATGCGGGTCTGAAGTTTGTGCCAAGCTTTTGTGTTTCGCTGAAGGAACTGAGCGTCTCGGATTGCGTCAATATCACGGACTTCGGCCTGTACGAGCTGGCCAAGCTGGGCGCCGCCTTGCGCTACCTCTCTGTGGCCAAATGTGAGCGCGTCTCGGATGCGGGCCTGAAGGTCATTGCTCGGCGCTGCTACAAGCTGCGCTATTTAAATGCGCGCGGCTGCGAGGCAGTCAGCGACGACTCCATTACAGTGCTGGCTCGCTCTTGTCCCCGCCTGCGTGCCCTCGACATAGGCAAGTGCGATGTGAGCGATGCGGGTCTGCGCGCCCTTGCCGAGAGCTGCCCGAACCTAAAGAAGCTCAGCCTACGCAATTGTGATATGATAACGGATCGTGGTGTTCAATGCATTGCCTACTATTGCCGCGGCCTGCAGCAGCTGAACATACAGGACTGCCAGATATCTATCGAGGGCTATCGGGCGGTCAAAAAGTACTGCAAACGCTGCATCATCGAGCACACCAATCCGGGTTTCTGTTGAGCGCACGGACGCTGGAACGTTAAAGCAAAGAGGCAGGCCATATGAGCTAAGATGTTCTAAACAATGAATGCAAACACAAATTATTAGCTGTTAATGATTGTAGTTCGTTACTGTAAATACTTACTTAAGATTACTACAGATTGTACATATGGCTGGAGAGGATTAGCCTAGGCCCATAGAGCATTTGCTAGCATTTAAGTAGCGCGCCTTCTAGACTAATTCTTGCATAATAAATTATTTCATATAAACCCCTAATTATAAATGCTTGGCATAATTCTCAAACCGTTTCTCCATATGTAAGGCGTGCGTCCAATTTGAGGCACTCCTGCTTGTTTCACGCTACAATGGTGGACTAAACATCAAAGTTCCCTAGGCGCTCCAGCCAATTGCGCGATTTTCCGTTTTCTTCCTCGGCTCTTTCTTAAATATTCCAGGATCGTCCACAAATCTTTTATGTCATTGATAACTTGGCACGTCTCCCCATTGATGCGTTTCAGTTCTTGTTGGTGTCTGGCCATCCGCTTCAAGCTGCTTCCATGCAAACTCTGCAAATGTCGCATCCGCTGATGTACGTTTTCCGAAAATGTCGGCAGGTCCCCCAGCAGCTCCATTAATCTGATTCGATCAAATAACGAATCGGCGATGGGCAGCATTGAGTTCAATTTGCGTAGTTTTGCCTTATGCTTGGCACTCAGCTTTACTTCCGGTGAGGACAATAAATTTTCTACTTTTTGGCGCACGTCATGGATTTTCTTGATCTTCTCCCCATACTGCTGGCTCTCCAAAGCAATATTATATTTTGTGTCCGTGTGCTTGCAAATTAGCCAGTGAATCTGCTGTACTAGATGCTTAACTTTCTTCTGGTCACGGCGATATTGATGGGCGAAGTGACTAAAGTCCCTTTGCCATTGCTGCTTTCTTGATTTAACCATTTTATTAAATTGACAATTTTTGGAAACCTAATGAAAATGTTGAACAATTTAAATTTAGAATAAATGCTATTGAGGAACTTTTACCGACAGTCTATCGATAGCTCCAATCTGCAGAAATATTTGAATCTTAATTTCGGCAAACGGTCACACTCAACAATAATGCTACCCATCACTCTGCGAACAGCTGTGTGTCGATTGCTCTGCGTGCCTAGTCTGCTTGGAGGTTAGATACGTTGTATAATGTCAAGCACGTAAATTGATTTGAGCTTGTTTTTTTAAGTGTATCCCTAAATTCAAGTACGAGTTTTACCTAAATATTATTTTAACCGAAGCACACATGGCGAAGTATATCGCTCAAATTATAGTGCTGGGTGGCCAGGCCATCGGACGTGCTTTTGCAAAGGCACTGAAGCAAGAAATCGCCGCATCGCAAGAAGCTGCTAGACGCGCCGGTGGTGGTCGGAAAGGAGATCAAAGTGCTGAATCAAATTTGCGTACAGGTGGATGCAGCTATTAATTCATAATATTGTGAAGTTGTTGACTAACCACATTGTCCATAGGTATGACGCTGGAGGAGGCCAAGCAAATCTTGAACATTGACGACCTCAAGAGCGTGGATAGCATCAATAAAAATTTTGAGCATCTGTTTAACGTCAACGATCGAGCAAAGGGCGGCTCATTTTATTTACAATCTAAAGTCTTCCGTGCCAAGGAGCGTCTGGACCAGGAACTTAAGGCACAGCAACAACATCAGAAGACAGGTGAACAGCAGGCGGAGGAAGCACCGCAAAGCAGAGCAAGGCAAAGACGTTAACAAAATAGTGTGTTTTCTACCTCAAAACGACGCGAGATTTAGTTTATAATTAGATTTTAAGTAGTTGTTCATATAATGTTTTTCGCTTGTAAGTATACGAAATAATTATTTTGCACTTTTCAAAAGTTTGTAATCAGCTGGTTGTGATCAGACGACAACCCTGTCTTATTGCAACGCAAAGTTGGCTGCGTGGAACAGCTGGTGCTTGGCAGCACTGGAGTGCATACAAAGAAAAGATAAAAATTCAATGCTACGCAGATGTATTGTCACAGAGTATTTAGTTTTTTATGTGTACAATCAGACGTGTCGATTGTTTGTTTAATTGACACGGTCTAACAAGCCAAAACGCTAACGACGCAAAACAGCTGGCACATGCGCGAAAATACACAGAAATTCCAGCACAAAGCAAACGAGGAAATCAACCACCAGCACCGTTGACGACGACGATTTTCCACAGAGAAGGTGTCTTTTGGAGCATCGTTCTAGGAGCTCTAATATTGCTGCATGTGAGAGTAAGAACGCTTGAGTGGAGAAGGGGGAGAGAGAGTACGCGTCAGACAACGGTATTAGTGCAAAGAAAATTCCGCTGTTCAGTCAGTTTTCAGAGGACCTTCGAAACAGGCAGGCGAAAATTCGAGTTTTGCTCGCTCTACCAAGCAGACAACAGTTAAAAAACAAACTCAATGAAGTGGTAATTTAGAACGTTACGTTATATAGCAAAAAGTCGAAGGCGTGAAGCGTAAACAAATATCGATTAAACGCGACATTTTCACAGTGCCAATCATTTGACAGTTAAAGCTCAGTGTACTATAATCAGTTGCAATTAATTTGCCTATTTATTGATTTTCCTCGCTTATGGCAAATGCTTAATTCGCATTCTAGTTAATTTTTATTGTTTCTCATTATTCAATTTGCAGCGTGCTAACATAAATAACTGTAAAAGAGTAAAAAATTTACATAACTTACCCATTGAAAGTGAAACTACATTGATGCTAAAGAAAAACCTATTACAAAATTCCTGCCAAGTGTAATAAAAGTTAAACGAAGGAAGGAGACAAAGTAGCTGCGAGACAGAGCAGCGACGTTTGCAGACCACGACCAGAGAGCCAATTGTATTGAGCAAGGGGCAGCCTGCGAGAGAGTGATAGACAGAGAAAGAGAGAGAGAGAGAGCCACAAAGAGAGTGTACCAAAAGTATCAACACCACCCACAAACGAGGCGCCCACTTTGCGGACGTTTGCACGTTTCTGCTTTCTGAGTCTTCGTCTCTTCGACTTCGGCTTCAACGTCTTCGACTTCGGTTGTGTGTAGCATTCGTTTTGTGTATACACGAGGACGCTAGGCTAATCCTTTCGAGCGCTTCGCTGGCTAAACGCACACAAAACAGAACAGAGCAATAAAGCCAAACATGTTTTCGGGTTTAACAAATCAATTCACCTCGCTGGTGGGCGCAGTCAAGGGCGGCGCTGGCGATGAGGATGTCCCAGTGCCCACAGGCGATGCTGCCGCTGGCGCTGCGACCACATCAACTGCGGAGGCAGTTGCCACATCAGCGGAACAGGATGCTGCAGCCGCTGCCGGCGGCGAGCAGCTGCTCGAGGGCGAGGAGGGTGCCAAAAGGTAAGTCAACTTGCTTGCACTCAATATGGCTCGATCAAAATGACAAAATGATTTGTTCTCTTGCCACTTTCCACAACCGATAAGAGTTTTACGTGGCAGTTGCCACTCAAGGCCAATTCCCGTTATCTGACAGCTGCACATGCCTTGAAATTCTATAACATATTGGCATTTCACACCACAGTCGCTTCCCTCTATGCCTCCAGTCCGAGACCCACTTGCAACGCTTTCCTTTCCTTTGGTTTTTATGGCGTGCCGAATCGACCTTGCAGTTTCTGGCTTTTAGCATTTTGGCCAATCCTTTGGGCTGCTCGATTACCCTGGCTTAGCCATATTTCCTTGTTGGATTTTTCTCCTGCATATTTCATTGCACTTTGCCTTCCGTGACTGAACATAATTGCTTTAACTGCAAACGAATAGCTGATAATTTTGTTATGCATGTATATGTACACATGTCTATATATATCGTATCGTGATAGAAGTTGAGTTATTGTTAGGTTCCTCAATTGTGATGACTCTAAATGCCAACTGGTTGTGTTGCCTATTTCGAGTATATCTGAAATGATATTATTTATTGGATGCCCAGGATGAAAATATCTTTCGGTGTCTGAAAATTTCTGTTCTGTTCTGTTCACGCTGTTCCGCAATATAAATCACCATTTTCATTGTCATGTAAAGTTTCATTTGGGAAGTAAGCGATTCCCTATGGACCATATGCCATATGCCAATTTGCCTTAGACTGCTTAGTAAAGAAAAAACTTGAAGGCGTAGAATTATATATATTATATAGATAGATATCGATATGAATATCTTAGACTTTAACATATTGTCGGCAAGTGCTTCGAATTTATATTCATCTCCTTATAACATTGTTTATTTTTTCTCTCCCTCACTGTTTCTCACTCTGTGATGATTGAATAATGAAATTTTTATATTCAATTCAAAAAGTAAACAATTTAGTTTCATGAATAAAAACATATCGTTACTGCTTACAGCTATATAATACAAGCGTCTCCATTTACTTTACTACCATCTCGAAAAGTTTGTACAATCGCCATCAATTCTATTTTATGCCATGCCTAAGACAATTTAAGCCCAACTGACAAGCTGTTAATTCCAAATGTTGCTGCCTAATCCTTTGGACAATCGAAAGCCAAAACGTTGGAGCATTTGTAAGCCATGCTCAACGCATTTCCCGACATTCCCACCAAGCCATAGACCGTCAAATGTCATTTTTCACTTAATTTGGCACATTAATATTTAATTGTGTGTATGTTTGTGTGTGCGAATGTGTGTGTGTGTGTTTGTGGCAAGCCAATTCTGGGCACGTCCCGTGAGCAGCCTTTGCCAGCTGCCAACAGCTGCTGCCAGACTTTGAAGTGCGTCTCCTAGTCTGCCCATTTTGTAGTATTCCCGCTGCTGCCTTTCACTATCAACTGACATTGACAAGTTGTGTGACGACGCTGCCGCGGACTACACGGAGCACACGCTTCCTTCTTCCGCTTTGTTTCGCACTCCTCACAAATTGCACGTGTACGTGGCTTCTGCATAACCACAAAATGTTGAGTCATGCTGCCCACCCACTCACTCGCTGTCGTTGCCATTCAGTGTTTTTCTCCTTTGAGTAAGGCAAAACCCGAAATCCTGTCACCAATGTCAGAGACATTTGCTCCATGGTGAGCAGCACAGCAGCAGGACAGGATTCTGGTGGTTGCTTTCCAGTTTCCAGTTGACTTTAGCATGTTTTGCACGGATCGATACCAAAGAGAGCGGCAACAGTGCCGAGAGAGAGAGACAGTGTGAGAGAGAGCGAGAGAGAGCAAGTTAAGGATTGGGTCGCTCTCCTTTGCTCTGTTGCGTCTGTAAAACAAAACGAAATGTGCACATGTGATATGCCCTCTCCAATAGTGGAACAGAGGACGCTATCCTTGCCATCCTCGAGTGCTGCGACTGCTGCTCGCTGCCGTTGTTCTTGTTGTCCTTTTGCCAGCCTATTTAATAATTGTGCATTCAGTAAACGTGGCCTGGTATTTGAGAATCCCAGGCCCAAAATAGCAATCAACGTTAAATCTCTATAATTTTCGTTGAATTAATTTATTCAATTTTGCCTGCCATGCATAAATGTGGCTCATTAAACTGCCATATGAAAGCAAAGTTACATATTTGTCACAAATAACAGTTGACTCCATGGAATAAATCATAAAAAAGCGCATTCAAGTGTAAATTAAAACTTGATTTATATAATTCACTAACTTTTTATTCGATTTAATAGAAACTTGAAATTCGTTTCCCTTGCCTAAGCATTTCATTGAAACGAACAGTTATTAACAAAATTTCAAGTCTTTATATTTTCATTTTATACATTGTTTCATGATGCTGCCGGGAAGCGTATTTTTTTTATATATATTTATATTTATTATTATATTTATATTTATATATTTATATTTATATTTATATTTATATTTATATTTATATTTATATTTATATTTATATTTATATTTATATTTATATTTATATTTATATTTATATTTATATTTATATTTATATTTATATTTATATTTATATTTATATTTATATTTATAAAGTGTTCAATATTGGAATATATCTTTATTTATTTATTATTTATTATTATTTATTAGAATTTGAGGCACAAAGGGATTTCGAGCATGATAGCATGCTGGCCCGATTTTCGTCCTGCACAGCCTTCACCTGTATTCGCGTCGCCAGGGCCAACGCAGTTGGCTTTGCCATTTGCGCGCTTTCAAGGACATTTACACTATTTGCAGTTGCTCTCGGTGACTGCGTGTGTCTGTGTATGCTCGTGTATGTGTGTGTGTGTGTGTGATGGTGTGTGTGAATGCCCTTGCATTTGATGTTGCTGTTGCTGTTGTTGTTGCCATTGCGACTGCTTGCTGCGTATTTCGAAATGATGCCAACAGAAACAATGAAAACAAAACTAGCGCTCAAATTGCTCCGCAAATAAGCAGGAAGGAGGGCTAGCCTTAAACTAGGCTATGTTATTTTAAGAATTCTCTTTGTCACAGCCTTTTATTAATTTATGCTTATGCACACACAAATATCTACATTTGTATGCATGTATGTGTGTGCCAACTTTTTGAAAACTTTTGATTGCCTCACAAACAACAAACAACAAAGAACAAGACAAGCAACAAGAGGGCGAGTTTATTTTGGGCTATCATGAAAAATAAAGCTGGTAAATATTTGCATTGATTCAATTTGAAATTGGTTCGGATTGCTTACCAACATTCAATAGCCAATCAAATATACCTACGCACAATTTTTATTTGAAATTCAGAAGGCTTGCATATACCAATATGGGTTTGCAGAGGCATCAAATTGTATATTCCATTTATTACTTGTTTATGAGAGTGGAAGAAAGAGTATATTGGTTTTGTGTTCTCCTAGCAGCATTTCCTCTCTGATTGGTATATTTACTCAGCTTTGCCATTTAGAATATATTTACTCTTCTAGCATTTAATATCAATACAATACAATATACAATTTATGCATTGGCCATGCGTCTGTGTCTCTTAATCCAAGTATTTATGGTTGATCTCTGAATATAAAGCCAAAGCATTGACGATGTTTCACATTGTAAGAGTCAAAAATTAGAAATTTTAATATATATTATTAAATTAAATATATGTTATTAATTTCTATTTAGCTGAATTTAATATGAAACAATTGAATCATTGATGATTTTTGACAAAATTGAATATAAAGAATTGCAACATTTAATATATATTAATAATTTCTATTTACCTGAATTTAATATGGAACGAGTATTCTATAACCAGATACAAATTTTATTTATTTGTTATAATTTATTTATTTATTTCTTAAAGCTATTGGCAAAAACGATAGTCAATTTAAATTGAAAAAGCCTAAACAAAGTACAGGATATAATTTCAATATCAATCGATCCTCCTCACAATCAAAAGTAAATAACTTAAAACTTAGCCATATCTTTCATGCCTATCAAACTTTTAAATATTGACTCAAAGACCATTTAATACATTTAAATAATGGACCAACAAAAAAATAAAGAGGACTTTTTTCAAATTGTATTTATATTTATATATTTTTATGACATTTTTCAGAAGTAAAATAGTATATTCGCTGTTATTGCATATGATTTCAATCTGAGTTTCGTGTTAAGAAATTAGACATATATTGTGAAAATTTAGAGTTAATTAATGAAATATCGAGCTCAATTAAATGAACAATTCACCTGAGCAATTAAGAAGGCTGTCGCATTTAGGCATATTTAATGCTTTTACGTGCGCACAATATGCCATTCTCACATA